CGTGTAATTTAACGTTTCGCGTGACAAAGCAACAACGACACGCGCTGACGGGTCCCTCGAGCTCGTCTCTCAGCAAGAGAAGGAAAGAAGGAAATCTCTGTCTCGAAGGGTAGAGTGCCGTCAGCATGGTGCTATAACAAATGTCACGTGCCTTGCCGACTTTTTAGAACGTGTTTCGAAATGGTTTTTAAGAATCTAAACTGCTGCCAATTAAGGATAAGCAACAATACTAGTACATGTGAAATCTCAGACAGGAACTCCGCTTGCTACAATTACTATAGCAATAGCTTCAGCTAAATCCTATTCTAGAGTTACCTGCTTCAATGCCACACTCTGACTCACGCTCAAAGGTCTTCAGTTCGGCAGCTAGATCGTCTCTTCCGATTTTTTGGAGACATTTATGAAGAAAATCCAGGCGATTTGGTGCAATCTTCTGTCTCTGTTCAAGCTCTCTGAAAAGGTGTTCTGGCGTCAAAACTTTCTCTTTGTCTCCGGCTGGGATCACATCAGAACACAGAAACTTTAATTTCTCTAGGTTCTCCTCACTTAATTTAGAGGCAATTTCAGCCAAATTCAGTCGAAAATTTTGTTTACGATCCATCGCAACGAAATCCTCCCATCTACAGATGGAACTGAAGACGACAGCGATTTCTGGGAAAAATCCCTCGTTCCTGAGTTGTAAACACATGCCCAAATATGTCAAACAGCGAGAAATCTTTAAAACTGATTGGTGGCACGCTTTTTGGGCCAATCGAAAGCGCATTTGGTGGACAAAACCGAAAGTTCCAGAAGTGACGTTTACACTCGTACACGGAGAGCTATTTCTCAAAGAATTTCGTTTCCAGAATTATTAGTGTGTAGGGAAATTTGGAGAGACCTGTAATCCCAGACAAAAGCAGTAGCACAGTGGTCACCTCGTTATTACGGCCACTTATTTTTGTCCCGGCGAAACGCCCATACAGTTTCTTCTAAGAAAAGCCCGTTAATCCATCCCGTAAGACTTTCGTGCCGAAATTGATTTTTTCGCTGTTTTGCACTAATTTTGGGTCGAATAGTAAGAAT